GGGGACAACGGACATCCTTGTCTTGTTCCTTTTTCAATTTTAAACTCTGTTGTCAAGCTTCCATTAATGATAATCTGTGCCTTTTGCTCTTGATAAATTGCTGAGATCGTCAGCAATTGATCCCCAAAGTCCATCTTTTTAAAAGTCTTTAGTAGAAAATTCCAATCCACTCTATCAAAGGCCTTCTCTGCATCCAAAAAAACCAGCACTGCAGGGATCTGTTTATTCTTCTCAAGATATTCCAATAAATCTATCACTTGCCTTACATTATCCTTCATGTATCTGCCCTCGATAAATCCCGCTTGATCATCATGAATCACCTTTTGAATTACTGGCATCAACCTGTTGGCTAATACCTTCGCATAAACTTTATAGTCTGTATTCAGAAGAGAAATTGGTCTATAATTCTCTGGTTTTTTAGGACCGGCTTGCTCTTTTGGTATCAGAGATATAAAGGCTGTTGTCCATGATGGGGGTATTTTACCCCCTTGTTGAATATTACGAAATAGATCTCTGAGTTGTTCCACCATTTCAGCTTGCAAAGTTTTATAATACACTGCTGTCAAACCATCCGTTCCAGGAGCTTTAGCTGTTTTTAATTGTTTAATTGCTACTATTATCTCCTCCTCTGTTATAGGATAATTCATTCTTTCCTTTTGTTGATCAGTAATTTTTGTAACTCTTTTATCATCTAAGTATTTTTCTATAAGTCCATTCTGCACCTCCTCTTTAGTGTATAGTTTAGAATAATAGTCCACAAAAGCTTCTTTAATTAATTTTTGTTGAAAAATTTCTTTCCCTCCAATATCAATACTATCAATAGTCCGTATACTCTGTTTTTTCCTCAGTGTGTAGGCCAACCATCTGCCCGGTTTATTAGCATTGCAAAATGTATTATGCTTCGCATATTGTAAGTTTGTTGCAACTTGTTCCGCCATAAGCATTTGAAATTGGTCTTTCAAGAGTTTTATAGCACCAGGTGTTCTTTCATCTGTTGGATTTTTAATAAGTAGCTGTTCTTTATTCTTTATTTCTACTTCCAGTTCAGATCTTTTCTTTTGTCGAATCAGTCTATGTTTAGAGTTCATGTAAATAAGCACCCCTCTCATATATGCTTTGCTTGCATCCCATACAATTTCTATTGGGGTACCTTTATTCAGATTTATTTCAAAAAATTCTTTCAGGTGTTTCTTAAGTTCTATTGTGTTTTTTTCATATCTGAACAAGTTCTCATTTAATCTCCAAGAGCGTCTCTCAGTATTATCTATCTCAATTTCTATCCATACTGGGCTATGGTCAGTCAAAGTTCTTGGAAAAATCTTTGTTCTTTTTGTCTTAACAAGTAGATCATCTGACAACAAAATGAAATCAATCCTAGAGAAGGATCTATGTCTATCTGAGAAGAAAGTATAATCCAGTTCTTTTGGGTTGTGTATTCTCCAAATATCTTTTAATTCCAAATCTTCTTTCATATCGAAAAAATTCCTTCCCTGACTTTGTTCTATTTTAGTCCTCATTTGACTAAATCTGGGGGACTTTTTAGAAATCTTTGTGGAGGTGGGAAAGGAAGAAGAACTTCCCTTTTCAGAAAAACTAGCCTACGTGGCAGGATGGCCTCAAAGAAGCAGGAAGTGAAGGCAACAGGGGGGGGATCCCCCACACATAAGCATGAAACGCAGCTTCCCCCTGCACAACAGATACAGACTCAGAAAAAAGATTTTGATGTGGGGGATTTAAAAGAATTTATTTCAAAAATTTTGGATGATAAATTTCAAAAATCCCAACAGGAAATAGATGTTAAACTTCAAAAGTTTCAACAGGAAATTACGCAGGAAATTAATGAAATTAAAGATATGGTGGAACAGAATCAAAATAAGGTGACCAAAAAAATATCAGAAGTGGCGTCTGGCCTGGCAGAATTTATTATCAAAGTTGATTCCAAAGTTGAAGAATTTAAATCAGAAGTCAATGTTAAGATGAAAGATAATGATTATAAAATTTCTGATGTAGATGATAAAGTGCAGAGAGTTGAAAATGAAATTGTTATGTTACAATTCAGGGCAATGGAATTCGCTATACGGCTTCGAGGAATTCGAGAAGATGATAGACAGGATTTGAGACAGATCTGCTCTGAGGCTTTGGCTGAAATTTTAAAAATTAATCCTGATCTGGTTCTTCACAAAATAGATAAAATTACAGAGTGAATTCTTGGGTGGCCGGACAAAGACAATTGCCTAGAGATGTGGTCATATATTTTACAGATAGAGCAATAAGAAATGACATCTTGCAAAAATCTTTTTACACCTCTGTGCAAGTGGGGGGCTCACAAATTGGAGTGTACAAAGAATTACCACCTAAAATGTTGAAAACCAGAAAAGACTTTGGCTTTCTTGTTAAAGAATTGCAAAATCAACAGATACCATTTCGGTGGGACGCCCCAACTGGCATAATTCTGAGATACAAGGGAGAAAGATATCGATTGAATACTGTGGAGAAGGCGGAGCATTTTTACACTACTATTCTTAAAGAAAGAACACCATCTCCACGTACATCCACAGTGTTGGAGATCAAGGGGAGTGATGAGAAGCAACCTCAACAAGAATTGCAAGAACACTCTAAGCAGGAACCAGAAATGCAAGGCGCTGAAGGAGGCTTTCTGGATGAGCCTTTGCTGGAATCTTCTCCAATCTTGGACCCGGTTCGGATGATTGAAGTTAAGGATCAACGTATAACTCGAGCTAAATCTAAGCAACTTAAAGAAAAGCAAAAACAGGAAAGACAAGATAAGAAGGGAGCTAAGACTATTACCCAAGAGACTGGAGCTATGCGAGGAGCGAGACCGAAGATTTCGGAAGATATTCGGTTATTCTGCTCTTTGCTCCAGAAAGATAAAGATGATGCTTAAGTGTTTATCTTGGAATGTGAATGGGCTTAATTCAGCACAGAAAAGGAAGAAACTATTTGCATATTTGAAACAATTTAATAATGATATAATTTGTTTACAAGAAATGCATATTACAGTTCAAGATCAAAAATATTTGATAAACTCCAAATTAGGAACACATTTTATATCTTCAACGTTACAAAAAAAGAATGGGGTGGTTATTTATGTAAATAAAAAATTTATGGCTAAAATTATAGAAGCAGATGAAGATGGTAGGTTTGTACCAATTGAATTACGTACAACAAATAGCCAAATTCTTTTGATCGGAATTTATGCTCCCAATCAACAACAGGATCACTTTTATAAAATGTTACATATCAAAATATTGCAATGGGACTATAGATCTATTTTAATCATGGGAGACTGGAATGGAGTAATTGACTCTAAATTAGATAAAAGGAGTTCGGCGAAGTCCAGGATTAGGTTACCTCAGACCCTTTTGCAATCTTTTGACAAGCAAACTCAATGGGCAAACCAGATTCACTCTACAACTATGTTACTAACTTAACAACTATAGTGATTCATTTAACAACTATGGCAAGAAAGTTTGTAAAAGGGGACAAACCTCACTGACCAACTGTCTTGCTTAGCAACAGAAATTTGGGGCTCAATTGTCGGTAAATCAAGGACTGCCTGTAATGGAATTTTTTCATTGAATTTGTAACAAATGGTCCAACTCTGAACATAACAGAACTGTATTAATTTATTAGGTATATTGCAATGCAGTTATTGATAAAAAGAAATCTATCACTTGTGTTGTGGTCTGCTGGCGACCTGCGGAGCTGGCAGCAGAATCAGACAGTAAGGAGGCTGGGGAGGAACATGGACCAGCCCTGGAGTCTGGGGAAGGCTCAGATGTGGGTTCTGCATTGGAGGCAGAGAGGGGGCCAGGGCCATCTGGGAGTTATGTGCTGCCTCCAGAGCCTCCAGAGTTGGACATCAGCGAGGCAGAGGAACAGGGGGAACCTGTTCCCAGTACGCGCATGCGCAGAGCTGCCAGAAGGCAGGAACAGTTAAAACAAAAGGGATGACTCGGGATTAGGACTTGGAGATGATTGGCCCCTCCCATAAAACATAAAGGGGGAGCAAAGGCATGTGAGCCTTTGCAGGAAGCAACTTTGTTCGCTCTGGTCGGTTTAAATTCTGAAGCTCCGTTTTGACTCTGTGCTCCGTGTGGCCTTGCAAAGCTAATTGCCAATTAGGTCTTTGGCAGCGTGTCAAGGGAGATTTGAATTGTGGTAAAGAGAAACAAATGGCGTTCCCATAGAAAAAAAAAGAAGACCTGCAGGAGATCAGCAAGAGCCATAGTATAGCCCAGAAGGACTGTCAAGGCACATCAGCTGTGATCTGCTGTAATATTTTTGTCAGCTTTGTGAGGCAAAGAACAGCAGTCTGAAATAGACTTATGGGTGAATGTATTTCACAAAAGATGAGAGTTTGAAATTTCATCTGTGTACCTATGATAGCTTTACATTGTGAATTTATTTTTAATTTATCAAATTACATTGGGTGCCTAAGGGGCAACTTATTTATACTTTCACACAATCTGAAATAAACCCGACACCAGTAATGGACTTCCTGCCATTTCTTAATGCTGCAGGCATATTGCATAATATTTTCTGTTATCCACTAACTTTTTTTTTCTTTTATAAAATTGCTACATGTTTTGAAAACCTGTAGGAAATGTTATATGTGAATTTGTGTGCCTTAGATTAAAGCACGGGAAAAAAATAATTTAAAAAGCTATCTGAATGTAGATGTAGGTTTTTAAATAAAAGCACATTGTTCAATGTTGTTGAATGTACAATTCTTCTGAGATTATCTAGTGATAATCGCAAAGAGTTGTGAATTGTTTAATAGATGCCCTATAGAATTGAAATACAGAATAATTTAAAATTTATTTATTTTCTTGGCTGTTATTTCAGTAACAATATCTCATACATATACAAATATATTTAATGTAGTATTCAGCAGCCACAGGTAAGTTAAATTAGGAGCATGCAGAATATAAACAAATGAATTATAATATTGTATGTTATTAATGTTATTTTTGCAGTGCCTGGTCCCGTACCTACAAAATCATTAAAAGGAACTCCCTTTGAAGACAAGATCTTCTTAAATTGGAAAGAACCAATGGACCCAAATGGTATCATCACCCAATATGAGGTAGTAATAACATTTATTTATTTATTTATTCTATATCTATAAAAGAGCCGCAGTGGTGCAGTGGTTTAATGCAATACTGCAGGCTGCTTCTGCTGACTGCCGGCTTCCTGCAATTTGGGAGTTCGAATCTCATCAGCCCAAGGTTGACCCATCCTTCCATCCTTCCAAGGTTGGTAAAATGAAGACCCAGATTGTTGGGGCTAATATGCTGACTCTGTAAACCGCTTAGAGAGGGCTGTAAAGCCCCGTGAAATGATATATAAGTCTAAGTTCTATTGCTATTGTTATTTTCATTTATCATATTTCTTCCCTGCCATCTCACCTAAATGGCTCTGAGCATTTACAACAAACATAATATAAAACATAAATAAGAACAAAGTTAAAATTAGGTCACAGGGGAGGGGCGGGGGGGTAGCGGTTATCATTAAAGAAGGTCTGAGACCGAGGGAGGCCACTGTTCCTCAGACGGCCGGCTGTGAATCCCTTTTTGTGAAATGGGGTCATGGGGTTCAGATGGGTTTGCTGATCACGTACCTGGCTCCCTGCCACGTGGCAACAGCCCTGCCCGAGCTACTCAACGTCATCGCCGCGGTGGCGGTTGATACCCCTAAGCTTATGGTTATGGGGGATTTCAACCTGCCGTCCGTGGGTGAGACGTCAGAGATGGCTCGGGAGTTCATGGCTTCCATGACAGCTATGGACCTGACCCAGTTAATTCATGGCCCTACCCACACAGGGGGAAACACGCTGGATCTGGTTTTTGTCTCTGGACAGTGGTTGAGGGATCTTGATATAGGGGATATAGTTACTGAACCCTTGTCATGGTCAGATCACTCTCTCCTTCGTCTCGACTTTCAAACCGCTGCACCCCGCCGCAGGGAGGCGGAGCCGGTCAGATGGTTCCGCCCCAGGCGCCTGATGGAACCTGACAGATTCCAGACGGAGCTTGGGCCATTTCCTGAGGTTCTGGCACACGCCTCGACTGGAGACCTGGTGGCCGCCTGGGATAGGGCGGCTGCTGGTGCTCTGGATCGGGTCGTGCCTTTGCGGCCTCTGACCCGGCGCCGATCTCAATTGGCTCCTTGGTTTACCGAGGAGCTGAGGGAGTTGAAGCGCCGGAAAAGACGCCTAGAGAGTAGTTGGAGGGCCAGTCTTCTTGAATCTGACCGGACACTAGTAAGATCCCACATTAGGAATTACTTAGTGGCGATAAAAGCAGCGAAATGTAGTTATTTTGCTGCTCTTATTGCGTCATCAGATAATCGCCCGGCCGCCCTCTTTAGGGTGACCCGCTCCCTGCTCCACCAGGAAGCGCGGGAGGACCCCTTGGAGGGTAGAGCCGAGGATTTTGTTCAGTATCTGTATGACAAAATCACTCAGATTCGGGAAGATTTGGACTCCGACTGGGTAGTCTCAGGGGGAGAGACAGGGGCAGGTCTTGAGAATGTTATCTGGGATGAGTTTGATCCTGTGACCCCTGAGGACGTGGACAGGATTCTGGGTAGACTGAACGCGACCACTTGTTTATTGGACCCGTGTCCTTCCTGGTTAGTACTGGCTTCCCGGGAAGTGACACGAGGCTGGCTCCAGGGGATTATAAACGCTTCGCTGAGTGAGGGTGACTTTCCCGCCGCCTTGAAAGAGGCGGTGGTGAGGCCTCTCCTCAAGAAGCCTTCCCTGGACCCGGCAATGTTGGTAAATTATCGTCCGGTCTCCAATCTTCGCTTTGTTGCGAAGGTTGTTGAGAGTGTGGTCGCGCAACAGCTCCCCCAGCACCTGGATGAAACGACGTATCTGGATCCGTTCCAGTCGGGCTTCAGGCCCGGGTACAGCACGGAAACGGCATTGGTCGCGTTGGTTGATGATCTCTGGAGGGCTCGGGACAGGGGGTGCTCCTCTGTCCTGGTCCTGTTAGATCTCTCAGCGGCTTTTGATACCATCGACCATGGTATCATGCTGCACCGGTTGGAAGAGTTGGGGGTGGGAGGCACTGTGTTGCGGTGGTTCTCCTCCTTTCTCTCTGACCGGTCGCAGTCTGTGTTGACAGGGGGACAGAGGTCGACCCCGAGGCCCCTCATATGTGGGGTGCCGCAAGGGTCGGTCCTCTCGCCTCTCCTGTTCAACATTTATGTGAAGCCGCTGGGTGAGATCATCCGTGGTTTCGGGGTGGAGTACCATCAGTACGCTGACGACACCCAGCTGTACATCTCCACCCCGGATCACCCCAACGATGCCCTTGAAGTGATGTCCTGGTGCCTGGAGGCCGTACGGATCTGGATGGGGAGGAACAGGCTCAGGCTCAACCCATCCAAGACTGAGTGGCTGTGGTTTCCGACGTCCCGATATAGTCAGTTGACGCCATCACTGACTATTGGGGGCGAATCATTGGCCCCCACGGAGAGGGCTCGCAACTTGGGCGTCCTCCTGGACTCACGGCTGTCTTTAGAAGAGCACTTGACGGCCGTGACCGGGAGGATTTTTCATCAGGTTCGCCTGATTCGCCAGTTGCGTCCCTTTCTGGATCGGGACTCTTTACGCACGGTCACTCATGCCCTTGTCACCTCCCGCCTGGACTATTGCAACGCTCTCTACATGGGGCTCCCCTTGAGGAGCACCCGGAGGCTCCAACTGGCGCAGAGTGCGGCCGCGTGGGTGGTAATGGGAGCGACATGGCGTTCCCATGTAACACCTCTCCTGCGCGAGCTGCACTGGCTCCCGGTGGTCTTCCGGGTGCGCTTCAAGGTTTTGGTTACCACCTTTAAAGCGCTCCATGGCTTAGGACCCGGGTACTTGCGGGACCGCCTACTACCACCAATAGCCTCCCACCGGCCGGTACGCTCCCATAGAGAGGGGCTCCTCCGGGTGCCGTCAGCCAAACAATGCCGACTGGCGGCCCCCAGGGGGAGAGCCTTCTCTGTGGGGGCACCTACTATCTGGAACGAGCTCCCCCCAGAGATACGGAGGATCCCGGATCTGCGCACCTTCCGCCACGCCTTAAAGACCTTACTATTTCACCAGGCCGGCCTGGCCTAATTTTCCCCCTCTTTTATAAAAGATTTTTAAAATTTTAAATATTTTTTAGTATTTATATATTCAATTTTAAATTGGTTTTAAAAGTTTGGGGTTTTAAATTTGTCGGGGCCAAAATTATTTAATTTGATTTTATTCTATTTTTTAAATTTTGTATTGTATGTGTTTTTATTGTTTGGCTGTGCACCGCCCTGAGTCCTTCGGGAGTAGGGCGGTATAGAAATCTAATAAATAAATAAATAAAAAAAAATTAAAAGGAGGTAAAAGAATTGACATTTTTGCTTAATTGGGCAAAAAACACATGGTTTTATTTGTGGAAAATGAAAGAAAAATAAACCATAGATGGCATTTTTATCTAGAGTCTGAAAACAGGTTATGAGATCCCCAAGGCTTTTTTCTTTCTTTTTTGCTATCATCAGGCTCTTAATAGATCAATAGATCATCTGCTTAATCAGAATGGATTATTATATTGTGTATATTGGTTTAGAATATATCCCTGATCAAATGCACTCTAAATATTCTGAATTGATGCCAGGATATCAGAAAAACAATGTAAAATTGTAGAAATGAAAAAAGGGGGCTAAGAAAAAGAAGGGGGCCCCTTCTTTTCAGTCTATTTCTGGTAAGTGAGCTGTTACTTCATAGAGTCCCTGGCTGCCTCTGCCCACTGATAAACCTGCAGCTGAACAACATATGACAGAAACCATTTCCGTGCTGTTAAAAGTCTTTAAAAACAAACAGCGTTTTAGAGCATATCTACTCATATAGGGACATGTGCAGTCTCTTTATTAAATTTATATGCCACCCATCTTATTGTCAAGTGACTCAATTTATGTTACATTGGGGCACAAAGAATGGAAGAGAATTGTGTTATGATGTATTCTTGCCTCTACATCAGGGGTGTCAAACTCAAGGCCCGCGGGCCGGATCCAGCCTGCGAGGTGCTTAGATCTGGCCCATGGGGCTGGCCTGGAAATATCAAAGAACTAGCCCGCAGTGCCTCTGCCGGCCCAAATGGTGTGTGGTGGGGCGTGCCTCCCCCCCCCCATGGTCCATTTTCGACCTCCACCGTCTCCTGCAGCTCTCTGCCGGATGAAAATGGGCCACAATCTGGCCCGCAGGCCTTGAGTTTGACACTCATGCCAGAAAGTAAATCTACCTTTGTCTGGAATAGCTGTTTTGTATGCAAAGGGAAAAAAATGCATCTTGAGCCTGTGTCAAATGGCCACCATGGCCACGCCCACCATGGCCACATCCCACCTCAACCCCCAACCCTCCCAAGGTCAAATACAACCCTGATGTAGCCCTTAATGAAATTGAGTTTGACACACCTGCTCTACATGAATGTATTAAACTGTATAAAAGTATCAGGGCCACAAATATTGTCCATTTTTTAATTTAAGGAACAGCATATCACTGTCAACACACCACGCATCTCACCGAATGATAAATCTGTTAATTAATCCTTAAATTAGAATATACTGCTAATGATCTTTTGTTTCAGTCACAGAGCGGATAGAACTTTTAGAATAAAAATGAAAAATACAAGCTAAAATTGCATAATAATAAAGTCTTGTTTTTGCCAATACATTGCCAGCAAGCTTGTAATAAATGATAAAATCTAGGATTTAAATATGCAACTTTGATTTAGATCTGGTAGCATTAATATATAGCCTTCAAAAATCATAATTTAATGGAACTCTGTCCAATGAAGGCTACAGATAATATATGTGAGAATTATTAATAGATATGAGACATTTTCTAGACTTCAAGGTTTTCTCTCCTGGAAACTTGAAATGCAAATACTGATTTTTTTTAAAAAAATCATATATTTGATGAATGAGCCCTTGAGGAATGAAGGGGGAAAATAATTTGGTATCCAATTTATTATATATCTGTCATTTTTTAGAAATAGGCAGTCTTGTCAATACCACATTTCTTGTTAAAACAAACTAAATATCTATTGGAGGCGCTTTAATGTTTCAATCATCTATTCCAATGATTTAGTTTTTGTTGTGTTTTAATGGGTACTTTTTTTAATTGCTGGTTCTTCAATAAAAAAAAAACTTACAGGAAGAGTTTAGTGTATACATTGTATATTCAGTATAAACACTTGAATAAGCAAACATCACCCAGCTTCCGTAACTGTAAGTTTATAAGAAAGTAGGGGAGAAAAAATGTGGTAATGTGCTACAAAATAAACAAACAAACAAACCTGTTTAGCATTGTACAAATCACTACTGTTTGCATAATTTGTGACCCACCAGTCATATTTTGTAGTCGTAAGGATCAGTAACACTATACTTGTATTTCACTACAGGAATTCAAAGAAAATGGGAAATTCAAAGACTAAGATGAAACATTATTTTTTTAAAAAAAATAAAATTGGAAACTAATTCATAACAATGTACTAAGCAGGGTTGGAGTTTCACTAAACCTCTGACATAATTTCCACAGGTCAGTTACACTAGCATACGATCCTTTGATCCTGCAGTTCCAGTGGCTGGGCCACCTCAAACAGTGTCAAAATTATGGAACAGTACACACCATGTTTTCCCCTATCTACATCCTGGAACTACCTATCAGTTTTATATAAGGGCCAGCACTGTCAAAGGTTTTGGACCGGCTACAGCCATCAATGTGACTACCAATATTTCAGGTAAGGGCAAACATGGAAAAGTTACTAAATTTATCATATTAAATCTCCTTTCTTTTTGTTGAAACCAACGCTATTTCCATATAAGGAAGACATGGACGACACAGTGGCTACAAGCATGATATAGTAAGTGGGTAATGATAAATAGGCAGCAAGAAAGATGACTATGTGTTTTTATGGATGTGCACATTTAAATCAGTGAAGGTATAGATTGTTTTAAGATTCATACTGAATTATCAAGATTATCATGAAATTTTGCAAATGGTTGTCCAAAATCTACTATGCATGTACTTGTACATGTACTTATTTTTGCTATGTTATATATTAGAATGCAGCCCAGTGTTCTTTACATTGAAGAAATTGTGGGAATTGATGCTAAATTCCCCAGAACTAGCCTGGTTTGATTTGCTTAGTTTTTATAATAATAATAATTTTATTGTCATTGTACGTGTATACACCGTATACCCATACAATGAAATTCACTTAACACCCAAAGACCAGATCCAACACACATAACAATCCCCAAACACACCCCCACCTACCACAAATTCCCCACCCCTAAACCACCTAAAGATCCACACAACAGACCAAGTAATGCTGTCCAACAGCTCACTGATGGTGGCCCTTTAGTTCATTGTTGAGTGCAATTATAGGTCTGGGATAAAAACTATTCAGAAAACATGTGGTCCGAGTTTTAATTGTTCTGTATCTTCTGCCAGAAGGCAACAGTCCAAAAAGATTGTAAGCAGGATGGGAAAAGTCTCTGAGAATGTTATGCAACTTCCTCAAACAGCGAGATTTGAAGATGTCGTCCAGGGCTGGTAGCTGGAGCCCAATGATATTTTGGCAGTTTTAATGATTCTCTGTAAAGCTTTTCTGTCCGCTGTAGAGCTGCTCCCATACCATGCAAGAATGCTGTCAGGACACTCTCAATCGTGCTGCGATAGTAGGATAGAAGTAGATGCTGAGATAGATTTATCTTCCTGAATATTCTCAGGAAGTACAGCCCCTTCTTCACATTTAACTAATTTAGATGGCCCCCATCTGATGAAAGTGACTCTGGGCGGTATACAAAGATTAAAATACAGAACAAAACAAAAATCTCCCAAATTCACCAGTTCATGAAAATAACCATTAAATTATTATGAATTAAATATTCAAAAAACAATTTTATGGATAAGTGGAACTGATAGTTCTCCAATTTTGGAAAGATTCACTATTTTAATTATTTATTTACCATCCTGCAGTCTGTTAGCAATCTTTGAGAACAAATAAAATAAACTTGTCTTGCATGTACAGATACTCTTCTGGTAATTGGGACCAGCAACTTTGTCATTAAGTAATACAGTCATAAATTGAGATGTCACATGATGTAACTTATGATGGTAATGGCAGCAGTCTAATAGGTTGTCGTTAGCAAATCCCATGCCATTCGCAGCACCCTATGGTCACATGATGTTGTGGCCCATCAGCTGCCAGCAGAGCCTGACATCCAGGGTTGCTATGATGGGGCAGGATGGGGTGAAACTGATGAAGGGGAGTGTCGGAACCATAGTGACGGAAGCAATGGAGCACTGGTGATGGGTGTAGGGAAGACTGCAGCGGTGATGGAGGCAGCAATGGGGCTCAGCTGTGAAGCGGGAAGGTGTGGTGACACGAGGAAAACCGCCAGCAGGGATCAGAAGCTCCAAGTGACAACCAGCTGTTCCGGCCTGATAATCAGTTCCTTGTTCTGAGTCAAGGAACGGCTGGGTGGAGCCCCGCCGGCCAGGCTAATGCATGACTGACGATGGGGCGAGGCCAGCCGGAGGGGGGGAAAGGGCATGGCTCACCTTGATAAAGTGTGCTGGGAGGTAGAAGCTCCCAGCATTGACTTTGCATCTTTACAGACTGCTATTTTGCTGCTGCTAGAACTTAACCTGTGCCAGAGTCCGACTGAATAAAGCCAGTTAGCCTACAAGTGTGTGGCATTTTCATACTGGTTTAGGTCCGGAGCTCAACCACTGATGTGCAGAGTCAGACGAGGAGGAGGTGGAGGGAGAGGCTGGACCAGCTTTGGAGTCTTTGGAAGGCTCTGATAAGGAAACAGCATCAGAGGCAGAGCCAGGGCCTTCTGTCCTCCCCCAGGTAGAGAGGCAGCTGACTTCGGGGCCTGAGCTGAATGAGGGGGAGGAACAGATGGAGCCCATCCCAGATGTGCGTATACACAGAGAGGAAAAAAGAGTTGAGCAAAAGAAAGCAATAAGCTCGCTCTCAGGGAGAGGCAGATGCAGATGATAGCCAGCCCCTCCCTGGCTGGGAAATAAATAGGAGGGGTTTGGGAGTGGCCAATTGTTACAGACAACTATTCGTTTCTAGTATACAGCAAGCAATTTGGATTTCTTCAATAAACCCAGATTTGTTGGGACTAATTTCATTTGATTTTTTTGTTTATCCATGTGAATAAAAGACTGTTACTGCCCTGTTACAAAAAGGGGGTTGTTTTACCCACGAGTAAATGTCTTATCACTACTTGCAAAGGCTGGGTCAGAACACAAGATTGCCATTTGCAGCCTCCTGCTGCCTCTTGGCTTGTTAGAAGGCAGTGAAAGTTGCAAATGGCAATCATGCAACCATTGAGATCATGTGATTGCAGAGACACTGCAATGGCTCCGGCCACAAGGGCCCATTTTAAGTCTCCAATCCAGAAGGACTTTCTATATACAAAATTGCTACAAATAAAAGATGGTCTTACAGCTTATTATTAGTTTAGGCCTCTTCTTTGATGTTACTTGGAATGACCAGAAGTGAATACCAGGATAGCGCAAAATGAACATGGGACTGATGGTCCTTGACTTACAACCACAATTGGGAACAGAATTTCTGTCACGAAGTGATGCAGTTGCAATGTGAGACTGCATCGCTTAGTGACCACAATCCCAGCACTCCCGGTTGCCTTCAATAACCAAGAATAGTGGATTGTTAAGCAGAGGTGTCCCAGGTAAGAGCACAGCCACAAAGAAGTGGGTGGGGCGACACAGGCTGTGCATAAGTTGAGGGGGCTGCAATGAAATGTGGTGCAAACCTGCAGCCACTCTTGGAAGCCTTAGCCAATGCAGCCTGGTCCAGCAATACGACCCAAAGCTACCATGCACCAGAAAGCTTCAGTCATCCCACCAGGCCAAGCAAGCCCTTACAACTACAGGGGCACTGCAACTATGCCCCACCTCTCTCCCCCACAACTCACCTATGCCTTTTTGGCAGCCCTGCACAGTGGCACTCATTTGGGCATGTTCTTCTACTGCCCTGTAGCAGATTTTAGAGCTACCAATTTAATTTGTCCATATCTTTAAAATACCAACCTATGGAAGAACATGAAATTCTTTTTTTAAAGTTTTTTTTTTAAATTCTGCTAATTTACTATAACTTGATCTTCTCATAGAAGAATACTCTGGTTTCTAGATTAGAGAATTTCTTGATACCAACATCCAGATATCAAAAAGCAGCTGGATACAACAAATAAGGGGTTTTTTTTCTCCCCCTTTTGTCTTGCTGCCAAATGTTCTCAATTAAACAGTTTGTGTTCTGTGACTCCCTGAGAAAGTCTCCTGCTTTTCTTTTTGTTCCCCGCCAAAGACTGAGTTTGTCTTGACAACAATAAATTAGCAGCTTGAATGGTGGTTCGGAGAAACTGAACCAATATTGGGCTGGTTCCCTCTGGTGAATGAAAACAAAAGACAGGAGAGCTCAGACAGGTTTTCTTTTATATACAACTTAAATGAATGATCTTATTTAGAACCATAAGAAATATTAAAACACATAAAATATCTCTGCATAAGATGTTCTGTAATGAGGTCATTTCTCTCTGAGTAACTTCATTTCCATCAAAATCTTTAACATATTAATTATCAATAAATTCAAATTGATTTAAACTGTTCTCAGGAGAAATAGTTACTTTTTCTTTAAAGTGTGACGTGCTCTTACCTAGAGAGAGAGAGAAAGAGAAAAACTATTTCATTTTTTAAAAACTACTTTAAATTACACTCCAAGGCTTTTAAAATTACAAGCATTTTCATAGTAAATGGATTCTCTGGGACCACTAATGCAGTATTTCTCAACATTGACAACTTATAACCACATTTAAGTGTACATTATTACAACAAGTCCCTACCCACTCCCTTTTTAGTACAAAAAAAAATATCTAAATAGAATAAAGCTAACGTGATGTTCAAGGCATATAGTCTGAGGAACAGATTATTTTTAAAGTCTGAATATAGTTTAGAAAATCCTCTTGAGACTGTAGTAAGATTTTCAGTCATGTTAACAATGTTGACAACTTACTGTGCTATTGTCACAATTCATGGCAAGGCCTAGAAATTAATAATAATTTCAGTTGAATGGTTGAAGATTTGATTGGCTCCTGAATGGTCTACTTTATCTTCATATGTAACCCAAATGAATTAGATGCCCCTTCAAAATACACCACATTCTGCTACAGTTTTCATATATCCTGTTTTCCAAACAACCACATTTCATTGTATGAGCACATTTCTTGCTCAGCTCAAAATAATCCTACATAAAATCTGGACAGAATATAAAGCTAAAGGTTTCCCCTGCCAGTCATATTGGACTTTAGGGGACGGTGCTCATCTCTGTTTCCTACCTGAGGAAGCCAGCATTGTCCAAAGATCGTTCTGTGGTCATGTGGCCAGCATGACTATACATTAAGGTGCACGGAGTGCTATTACTTTCCCACTAAAGTGGTACCTATTTATCTACTTGCATTTACATGCTTTTGAACTGCTAGGTTGGCAGGAGCTGGGACAAGGAGGTGGAGGGAGAGGCTGGGCCAGCTGGGACAAGTTATGGAAGTGCACTCCCTGGTACTGTCCACCTTCTGGTCGACAAGCCCAGCATTTTAACTGCTTAGCCACCACGCCCCATGGGATAGAAGAGTGTAAAACAAAAATGAGAGATTGTTGTAGTATTCATGCCAATTTTTTATAAGTCCTATGATATAAATCTAGATGATGATATTATTTCCCAAGGATGAAGAGGTCATGAGCGCAGTTTCAGTGATTAATTTATATTGCTGTAAGGCATTACTAGTTCTTTTGTCTAATATTAACTATTAGTGCTATTTTCTGTCCTGACCAGCTTTAAAGTTAGTTTTAAATTATAGCTACTGAAATTTTAATTGTATTCGCTGCCCTGATTGAAAACTAAAATGAAAAAATGTGGATAGCGGGGAGTGTTATATCCTTGGGTGGACCACAGCAAATTCTGATTGTATGAAGCATCATAAAAGAAATCCAGTGATTCCATAATAGTTCCTCACACAAGAAATTAGAGATAATTCAAAGAAATATCAATATTTTTACATTTAATAAGCTTAGAAAATTTGAAAATCCTAATCAGTATTACAGTTTTTCAGTGTCATGACTAAATATATTTTTAACTTAAACCCCATGCTACATATTACTAGGATTTGCAATTTGATCACCAGTTTACAAAATGGTCATCAAGTAATTTTTGACTGTGAAAAGCTGCTGGGAAACCTGCATATTTTTTAACTATGATATCCTTTTTTTTGTTGTTGTTGTTGTTGATCCAGCTCCCACATTACCAGATTATGAAGGTATTGATGCCTTTCTCAATGAAACAGCCACAACCATAACTGTACTTCTGAGACCAGCACAAGCCAAAGGAGCGCCTATCAGGTAAAAATGGAAAATACATGAAAATCCTCATGTAAAAAAACGGAGGGGGGGAATTGAATCAGCAGCTGGCAACCTTTTGAGAGTTGTGTGGTCACACATACACGTGCATACACACATTTGACAACCAAAGAGTAGAGTGGACAAGGAGATATTACCATGACATCGTGCAAATGGGATGGGATATTTCCACTTTTGAGTTGGTTTCCATGTTTTGTTTTATTTTGCTTTGCTGTTTGGGTATGCCATCCCTGTAGCTAAGACCTTAACACATTTTTTTAAAAAAATAATCCTACCAAAAGATTGCACAACTTATCCCCTTATCAAAAGATGTTAATTCAATGAAAGAATTATCTGAAGTCTCTGTGATGTAACTGTCTTGCACTTTGTTAACTGTTTTAGTATTTGTTCTATGTGATTTTAAAAAGGCTTTATTCCAATAGAGTAGGCCTTACTTCAGTGGCCACAGGCACAATATTGAGTTGCATGAGACTATATAATTTAGATAGATTTCTGTCATTTTTATTCTTGATTTAAGATAGAAATTATGCATGTAAAAGTCAGCCTGTCCTGTATAAATGTGCCATTGTCTTTCTTACCTGCTCCTTGCACATGGCCCTTGAAGCAGATGTTTGATAATCCAATTCAAAATTGCAGGTTCTGTCAATCATTTCTTAAGATGAAACATGCTGCGGTAGTCACAGTTCTAATCATGGCAGAATCGTGTCTTGCCTGCCAAGTGTTATATCGTAATCTGTAGTGTTTTATGGCCTCCTGAAGCTGTAAGCCAAACAGCAGATCTGAAATACAAAGGAAGACTGGATGAATCAGTGTTTACAATGAAATATAAAGCTATTTCTTACCAAGCTGGAAATCCTCAGCTCAGCCAGTAAAGAATAAATATTTATTCAAAAATGAGATATATGTGGAGGTGCACAGATACAGACACACAGGGACAAATGATTTACCATTCTGTTAAGAAGTATCTTCCGATTTATAAATAAATGTATCAGGAAATTGCTAACGAAATATTACGGATATTCTATTGATTTTATTGATCCAGGTTCAAAGTTACCATCTTCTTTTATATTGTCTAATATTGTCTAAATTAACATAAAAACATGAGAATAGTTCTGCTGAATCAGGACAAGAAGCAGCACTTTGTTTCTCACAATGTCCAAACAAACGACTCTGGGGATACTCCCAAGCGGGAATTGAACACATATTCATTGTTTCTCTCTAACTAGAATCTGAAGACATGGTGCTTCCAACCTAGATGGCTGATAGGGCAAGCTATTATATATACAGCCAGTGAACCTGATATTCTCTCACCCTGATAATATTACCTAATCTGGTAATGAAACATTGACAAAAAAACAACCAAGCTCAGAGAGCAGCCTGAACCCAGCAGTTCAATTCTGAGCTAGATACATTCTCTTCTCTTGGAATAGCATTGTGGTCAGTTCTTTCTTTTGGCTTCACAACACATTTGTGCTGGAGATCAAATGACAGCCACCATTTAGAATTAAATCCAAGGTTTCAGCTTCTCTAGTCAGTTGAAAGACTCATTACCCTAATTTAAGTTACTTAGGTTATTTAAATGTAGTTTATTTGAATACACAATACAGGTAGTCCTCCACTTACAACAGTTCTTTTAGTGACTGTTCGAAGTTACAGCAGCACTGAAAAAAGCGACTTACGACCGTTTTTCACACTTACCTAACTTTTGCAGCATCAAAATTCAGATGTTTGGCAACTGACTCATATTTATGACGGTTGTAGTACCCCGATATCATATGGATTACCTTTTTCAAGCTTCTGACGAACAAAGTGAATGGGGAAGTCTGATTCACATAACAACCTTGTTACTAAATTAACAAATGCAGTGATTCACTTAACAACCGTGGCAGGAAAGGTCGTAAAACGGGGCAAAACTCACTTAACAAATGTCTTACTTAGCAACAGAAATTTTGGGCTCAATTGTCATCATAACTCGAAGACTACCCGTAATTAGTTTATTTAATAAATGTGATGTCTTTTTATAGCCTGAGTGTGAATATACTGAGATTATATGAATGCCATTGCAATCCACCATCACTGCACCAGCTTCTCTATTGTTAGACTCAAACATCTTTCAATAATTTAAAATCACCTTCAGAGTTCTGACCAGTACACCATTTCTGACAGATGGCAACCCAGTCTCTTCTTGAAAGCTTCCAGTGATGAAGCTCCCACAACTTCTGAAGGCAAGCTGTTCCATTGGTTGATTGCTCTCACTTGTCAGAAAATATCTCCTTATTTCCAGGTTGAATCTCTCGTTGATCAGTTTCCATCCATTATTCCTTGTCTGGCCTTCAGGTGCCTTGGAAAACAGATTGAAAGTTGCTCTGGCACCTTCCTGAGGTTGCTGTTAGCAGCCTGGTACCATTTTAAATAGAACCCATCTCTCTTTCACAGATTCACTCTTGTTCCCAGGAGATTCTCGAAGTCTAAATCTTAAATAAAATCTTATCAAGCCTATCCCCCCTCTGACATTTGGCTTTATATATGCACTCTATACTTTTTAGACTAGACTTAGAATAACTTTATTGTCACTTTAAATGTACACTAATCGGCATACATTAAAATGAAATTTCTTTGCATACAGCTCTCAAAGGGTCACCATCTCCAATATACGCTACATAAACATGGCTAAATAAATAAATAAATAGATAGATAAATAGATATTATGTATACACTCACATACCCACATATATTATTATATGACACAGAGAAACAACACAGTTTAGTTCAGATATATATGTATACATGGCAAGAATTATAATTATTCTAAACAGGATGGAAATTGACATTGACAAGTTCACTGATTACTTGGTATTTCGGAGAGCAAAAGCCCTGTTGGTTGGGTTGCGTTGGCTGCTCAGAAAAATCAGAGCAGCTATGTCTGTAAAGTCTTAAGATTAGTTGCCTGTGTTCCCAACGGAGTAGTCCAGCTGTTTAGGTGAATCTTGGAAATTTAGATTCTAGAGTCTCAAAATGCAGACAATTTTACATCTTTTCATTGAAAGGCATCTGAACATATTCATAGAATAATCTTTTCCATTTTGTTTATCACGCTTTGCCCAGGCTGCTTTTAGGTTCTGCATCACACTCACCTTGCTTTTTGCTACTTGAGTCGATTTTACCCAAACAAAATAAACAATATATGAATTTAATCTTGAAGTGGTGTAGATTTGCTTCTGGCTCATTAACCCTGAAAGGTCATAGTTATAACTATAATCACATCCAATCTCGATTAAGAGCATTTTAATTGATTACTTGACATTCTTTTGAGACATAGCATGGCCTGAGTCTGTGAGGTAATTTGCTATTAATAGTCAGATACTGTAGATGGGAATGTAACTGAGAAAATGGATACTCTACTATAGTTTTATTATTTCCATATTGCAGATATCGTATCATCCAAATTATTACCTAATTTATAGAGGGATTCCATGGATTCATATTTAACAGTTGTTATCTATTCAGTTTTCATTCAGTTGCACCCTACCATTCACCTTTTCATTGGTGGATTTTTTACAAATGTATCAAAACTAAGTTATCCAATGTCCAGTGAATTGTGGGTACAATTATTTCCTGAATTGCATTGCAGTTATGTAGATAGAAGAATGTCCTTTGATTTTCTAGCTCAGAGATAGACTCTGCTAACTGTGTGTGAACAGAACAGAACAGAACAGAATAGAATAGAATTCTTTATTGGCCAAGTGCGATTGGACACACAAGGAATTTGTCTTGGTGCATATGCTCTCGGTGTACATAAAAGAAAAGATACATTCGTCAAGAATCATAAGGTACAACACTTAATGATAGTCATAGGGAACAAATAAGCAATCAAATCATTTTAGGAAACAGTCAATATAAATCTTAAGGATACCAGCAACAAGGTTACAGTCATACAGTCATAAGTGGGAAGAAATGGGTGATGGATGAGATGATTAATAGTAATGCAGACTTAATAACTAGTTTGACAGTGTTGAGGGAATTATTTGTTAAGCAGAGTGATGGCGTTCGGGAAAAAACTGTTCTTGTGTCTAGTTGTTCTGGTGTGCAGTGCTATATAGTGTCATTTTGAGGGTATTTGTGCATTTGTGTTGTTCTTTTTTTAATTCTTCTTCAGTAGCCCTGCAACCAAATATTTATTTATTTAGGCAGTTTAGATGGCTGCCCATAACTGGCTCTGAGAGGCTAATGGCTGTTCAGAACAAAAGCAACAACAAAATAAAATGCATAAACAGCAGCCAAGGTAAAAACCAATTAAAATAGCCATCTCATGATCCCAGGTTACCTTGAACAAGGCCTTGTGAAGGACTGTATCCCCATCAATCAGAAACGCAATGTTTTGGAGACAGTCCTGTGAGAACATAGGACTAATAACACAACAAGATTTGGAAACCAGCTTGTAATTTTGATTAAAAACAAGGTCTGGATAGTTGAACTATAGTTAATGAAGGGAAGAAAAAATATATAGTTTGCCTGACTTTCTGATTATAATGGCCAGAGATGGATTTATAGGATGAAAGATGAGGAGTTTCCACCATGTTTTCCCATAAATTCTTTGAGCTTTACTCATTTTGGCCTTGGCACAGTGGCTTTGTAGTATTTTTGTTGCCACAACCTATCTCAGTAGGGAATACACCTCCCCTTAACATCAGTGGGTAGAACATAAACAAATCCACAGCCTTTTCTGATAAATGAAGGAATACATGAATTATGAAAATAAATTAAAAATCTATTATGTTCCCTCCCATAACAGTAGTGTAACCTTGAGTGTACTGGAGAAAACCACCCCCCTTAAAATCTCAAGGATGTTACAACATGTTAAAGTAGTGACAGTCATTGAAATAAAATGAGTTTTATTTTTTTATTCATTGAAGTCCTGAGAGAGAATTCTAGCTGAGCTTTGGTATCCATTTGGTATTCCTAAAATCACAAGTCCCTTCCTGATTCAGTGTTACCTTGACTCACATTTTGCTTGTCTCTTGAACATCTCAGCTTTCGTTTTACCGTTCATGGGAAATGGGAAAGCCCCATTCTCATTCTCCCTTCAAGGTCTGGGTTGTAAACCACCTGCTTTTTCTTTGCCTGGTTGAGAGGCTTCCCTTTTGTCCAATTTGAACAAATCCCAATTTGTCTCTCTTGCCTGCCTACATGTTCCTATCTATTGCATGTATGTTTAGATGAAGCTGTTGGTGTTGAGGTCAGTTCTGTGCCTCAGAATAGCAATAGCAATAGGAATAGCACTTACACTTGTATACTGCTTCACAGTGCTTTACAGCCCTACTCTAAGCAGTTTACAGAGCCAGCATATTGCCCCCAACAATCTGAGTCCTCATTTTACTGACCTAGGAAAGATGGAAGGCTGAGTCAACCTTCAGCTGGTGAGAATCGAACTGTCTAAACTGCTGGCAGCCAGTAATCAGCAGTAGCCACCTGCAGTACTGCATTCTAACCAGTGCACCACCATGGCTCTTGAAATAGTTGAAGTGACCAAATATAATAAATGTGGGGCAGAAAAGTTTCCCATTCCACCAGAGAAGGCCTTTTCTTCTACCCATGAATAGTCTTATATTTGCAGCTAGCGCATGATTTGGGAGAATAGGATATAAAACAGGGGTGTAAAACTCGCGTTGTCATGTTGGTGTCACATGACGTATCGTGATTTTTTCCCCTTCGCTAAACTATGTGTGGGCGTGGCGAGCACGTGATGCATCTGGCCCGTGGGCTGTGAGTTTGACAACCCAGATATAGAACATCTGGTCATGTATCTGAACCGGTTCAGGTTATCAGTCCTTCTGATGGTATATATATACCAGGAGATAGATAGATAGATAGATAGATAGATAGATAGATAGATAGATAGATAGATAGATAGATAGATAGATAGATAGATAGATAGATAGAGATAGAGATAGAGATAGAGATAGAGATAGAGATAGAGATAGAGATAGAGATAGAGATAGAGATAGAGATAGATCTCCTGGGTTAAATATCCTACCTTTTGAATTGACCACTTTTTCTTTTATCATATTTCATTTTGTCAGATGGCCGGGAGAAAGATCCTGAAATAATTTACAGTATTATTCTGATTTTAAAATGAGAGTTTTAAGTAAAGCTTTGTGAATGATGGCACTGTCCATCAAAAGATCAGAATGCTGCATTTCAGCTGGTTGTACCATTTTATTTGCTTTGCCTCTTTCTTCTGCATGAAAAAGGATTATAATTGTGATCTCTGCTGAAATGGGCATTTTCTTAGAAATGACCAAGTGCTGTCTTTGAGAGGAAGCTGTTGGCAAGTTTACCAATAGCATGCATAAATAGATAGATAGATAGATAGATAGATAGATAGATAGATAGATAGATAGATAGATAGATAGATAGATAGATAGATAGGTATGTAATTACGTACGTGCATACGTACGTACATACAACCATACATAAATATTGGTGTATTATTATTTTTTTTTGCAGTATTAAATAGGCTGAATGCCATCTGCTCCAACAATTTTCAGTGGCAACTATAGGGAAAGGAGCCGACTATTTGGAGAGAGTGGACAGATTTCTCTCCATCTGTGCTTGTATTACAAGATGTCGTTTATATTTTAGATCTGCATAGTTGTGAGTCAAGATGTCATATCAAGGTCAAAAGGTAGAGATGCCTGTCAACATGCTTTGTCTTGGAATAACATGACAAGTGCAATTTGGTGCTTCAGGCATGGCTTAGAGCTGCCCTGTTGAGCCTTGAAACTGAGCTTTCCGTATTATCATTTCAAACACTAACTTTAAATGCTGCAAATTATCAAGCAGAATGCTTAATCTATTACAAATTACTCTGTGTAATGTGAAATCTAGTCTTGGACTGCTCAAATGCCAAAGCCTTTAAAGTTGAAAGGGTTTCCTTGAAGACCAATCCTGTGCTCACCAGATATGTTGAGCTTTTAACTCGGGGTATTTTCAAGGTATTTCCATTCTCCAGTCCTTCCGTAGCAGTTTGAACTGACCTGCAGCCGTCTTCGGTTTTGCTGACCTTGAAATGCTGAGAATAGGCAGGAATCTCTGCAAGCCAGGTGGTACCTACTCTCCTGCTAGCAACAGAAGAATGTAAAAAAAAAAAAAATCATGCAGTCCATGAACCATCTTTATAGCTTGTGCCAGTCCTGAAGAAACAAAAATAACCCTAACTCTTGCTCCCACTCCACACAAACAGGAAATAAAATAAGTTGCTAGTGTATCCACTTCACTCCTCTGTTTTTATTTCATTTTATTTCATTCATTGATACGATAATGTGTTTATTTAGGCAGAAATCTGGGTGGTTAACGTGAAGAAACATTTTCTAGGTTTAAAATTGCTATTCCTCTTGCATTAAAAAGTCTCTTGTAAAATTGACAGTCAGGTGCTAGGCACAAAGTACTGAGGCTTTTGGCTGAGGAGATTGTGATGGATGGAGAGAGCTGAGAAATGTAGAGAGGCAAGAATTCCCACCACAGGGACAACAGACTGCCGTAACTTTGCAGAATTATAAAGAAAATATTGGTTTTACTCCAATTCTATTCTGTTATTATGTCTTCTCCTTCCAGGAATCTAATGTCAGGGGTGCTATTCAGCAGGTTCTGACAGGTTCTGGAGAACCGGTAGCGGAAATTTTCAGTAGTTCGGAGAACCGGCAAATACCACCTCTGGCTGGCCCCAGAGTGGGGTGGGAAGGGAGATTTTGCTGTATTCTTTCCCCAGAAGTAGGGAGGGAATGGAGATTTTGCAGTAACCTTCCCCACCAAGCCACACCCACCAAGCAACACCACACCCACCAAGCCTCATCCATAGAACCGGTAGTAAAAAAAATTGAATTCCACCACTGTCTAATGGCCATGAATCTCCATTGTGTTTCTTTTGATTTATGGTTGATTATGGGATAAAAATAGATACTCTGATCTCTTCCATGTTCTATGACAGGGGTCCCCAACCCCCAAGTCATTGCCCACTACCGGGCCTTGAGCTGTTTGGAACCGGGCTGTGGAAGTGGTAGGTGAGCGTGCGTGCACGCATCCCCACTTGCACAAGCAGCAGGCAAACACATGTGTGTGGACACCATTTGCGCGAGTAGCAGGCGTGCATGCCATTTGTGCAGATGGAGCTACGTATGTGCATGCACTTCCCCACCACTCATGTGGAACCATCCCCCCCCCCCCCCCCGGCCAGGCCGCAAAGTCAGAAAGGTTGGAGAACTCTGTTCTATACCATTGACCAAGTCAGTTAATAACTCTACTTTAGATGTGTTTTCTAGATATTGTTGTTGAGAGTCATTTACACAACTTGACCTAGAGAACTTTTTTTTTTTTTGCTTGTTCTTCTAAGCTGTAGGTTGGTCTTCATAGAGGTTTGTTAGCAACCATAATAGCAGAGTAATTATGAAAGGTTCTTGGGAGCACAATGATTGTAAGGACTTTATTCACACACACACCTTTTGCTTCAGTATTTACCATCCACTGACCATGCAATTGCACACATACAGATCAGTTCAGAACTGATGCAAAGTCCACGTGTTGATATGCTTCAACCAGCATGGCCAAATCATAGGGCGTTCTGTTTATCAGAGGGTTCATTTCCAATCTTGCCATCTCTTTACTATAGCTTTTTTAAAACAAGCATGCTGCACAATGGCTATATAGTCACGTACTCACTCATTCTAGCATTCTTCCTCTCTTGATCTTGAACAGCGCCTATCAGATTGTTGTTGAAGAGCTGCATCCTCATCGAACCAAACGAGAAACCGGTGCAATGGATTGCTACCAGATTCCTGTCACATACCAAAATGCCCTGAGCAATGGCTCGCCCTATTATTTTGCTGCAGAATTGCCTCCCGGCAATCTTCCAGAAGCAGCAGCTTTCACAGTTGGTGACAATAGAACTTATCAAGGCTTCTGGAATCCACCTTTGGTGCCTCGGAAAGGGTATAATATCTATTTTCAAGCCATGAGCAGTGTTGAAAAGGTAAGTGCATACAGGTTTTTCCTTGTTTATTTGTTTGTTTGCTTGATAGATTGATTGTTCATTGATTCATCCAAACATTCATTCATTCAATTTTAATCAATCCCAACTACAGTCTGACTCTAAATCATTTGTTTTTCCTGTACTGTAAGACCAAGACCATGATCAAGAGAGAGGTCTCAACAACAGCATGGGAATTTTGACTCTTTTTCTTGTTTCTTACCTTCATGTGTGGTAATAAGTTGACATCAAAAGTTATTGTTGAATAACAAGAATATTTGTTATGGGTTAAAAAAAATACGCCACTTTCCTTGGAAATGTAATTCATGAGTACTAATAAAAATATAAGAAAAGCTTCAGTATGACCACAGATCTATAAAATATTTAAAGAAAAAAGAAAAAAATGTCCAGATTTCAACATTTGGTTTCATATTTTGGTATAGTCTGAGATATTCTAGTGTCTGAAAGAATATCTTGTGTGTGTGTGTGTGTGTGTGTGTGTCTGTGTGTGTGTGTGTGTGTGTGTGTGTGTGTGTGTGTGTGTCCAAAGGAGGAGGGGAACAATTTAAATTTACAATCTCCTTTACCTTAGTAGTCTCTTAAACCTGTCAGCAGAAGCATGATGTCTCATTCTGTATAATTCTAATTTCAATTAGTTCATTTCAACCAAATGTTGAAATCTGGACTTTTTTTCTTTTTTCTTTAAATATTTTATAGATCTTTGGTCATACTGAAGCTTTTCTTATATTGTTATTAGTACTCATGAATTACATTTCCAAGGAAAGTGGTGATTTTTTTGTTCTCAAGCCTTAATCCTTAATCTTTTTTTTTTCTAAAATAAAACAAAAAAAAGTTTCTGTAATCCACAAATTCCACATACAACATTTTTAATGGGAAATATTGTGTCCCAAAATATTTAGAGTAGTGGTTTCAGTAAAATCAGTTTAGCCATATTATGATTTTTCATTTTCAAAACAAATGCACCAAAGACAAATTCCTTGTGTGTCCAATCACACTTGGCCAATAAAGAATTCTATTCTATTCTATTCTATTCTATTCTATTCTATTCTATTCTATTCTATTCTATTCTATTCTATTCTACTCTGCTCTGCTCTACTCTACTCTACTCTATTCTATTCTATTCTATTCTAAATAATTCTCTTCATCTCTCTTTCACAGTTCAAAATATTAAATTGGTTTTGGAAAAAGAAAATCTAGGTTGCTTGGCAGGCTAGTTCAAAATTGCCAAGTTCTCATAGCCTTCATCCCATACTTCAAATAAAAAAGAGTATTTTTTAAAAAGCCATTTATTTGAAATATGATCTAGGTCTATTCCTCGTTTGTACAAAAACTCAATGTACAACTTGGAAATTACTTGACTGCTGTGCAGGTGTTGAAGGTATGACCAGAAGTTCCTACTGCAATTTCTTCACTGTTTGAAATTTTGGTGCCACTGAGTAGTGCTTCTATTTCAGTATGTATATCAATAGAGAACAAAGCAACAGGAAGTTCAGTACTGCTGCCACTTGTAGTTGTGAAAAGCAACATGACTTGATAACCCCCATCCTGATGCCATTGAGTCATTTTATCTTATAAACCGAAATATGAGACAAGAAAAGAGAGAAACAGCATTTGGGATAGTAACCGAAATATTTAGGGCTGTGATTTGGTTGCCTTCTTATGATCTCCCAGAAGCAGATGGTTGGGGAACGATGAGGGGAGCAAGGGAAGATTTGCTGTTAAATTGGTAGTCTTCGGAATAATTAATCTGCTTTAGAAAGACTGATTTTCCTACCCTGCCATTTGCATTTTGGCTGCAATTAATAATATAGATGTTTCAGCTTCACTGATTTTACCATCAAACCCCTAGAATGAATTCTTGCCTAATGTTGTAATTATAAAAATTAGCTGAATATTGTGGCAAGATGGGAAAATGGCATCGTTTTTAAAACCATCCTACAATGGCTTGTTGAGCTGGAGGATTTTCCTGAAGCTAGTATGTGCTTAAATTAATGACCATAAAATTTGTGATGTATTCTCACATAGAAAGAGCGCGACAAGATCAAATTAACTGGTAAGTTCAATTGAGAGGAAGATCAGCAGATGAAAAACAGAAGACTTAAAATTTTGGAAACCATATTGGTGTCAATATAGAAACATATATGTGTGTGGAAAGATGCCTAATAATATATAGACTGGGTTCATATTCATGCTAACCAATGGAATGTGTAGCCTTGGTTCTTCGAATAAAGTACTGTACATTTGGATGGGTTCCCATAGCATGCTAAGCCAAAATAAGGAAACCATGGTTTGGTTTAATAGAATTGTGAAACTGGTTTCCACATACGGTACGATTTACTCCCAGTCTTCAATTGAGGTGGCAGGAATTAAACTTAGAATCCTCTGAATACAAAACATTTTCTTTATCTCTGAACTTGGGCTTTAGAAAAAAACCTATTTTACAAATTTCTTTCTAGATGGTATGTGGACCTTCATTTTTGTAATTTTAAACTTGGATTAGAGATTTGTAAATAGGGATGGAAGTATGAATGTAAGGAACTTTCTTCCACATTTGATGTGAATGTAAAATTGGAGAGAGCATATAGTTTTATATATTGCACCGAATTAGTTGTGTCACAAGTATCTACCTTCCTATATATTTGGCCTGCATTTTGCTAGATCAACAGGATGATACTCAAATCATATCTTTGTATTTCAACAGCTAAGGAGAGTCAGCTTGGTGTAGTAGATAACACATCAGCTAGATATCAGTCATCCTCTCTCAGTCTAAGAAGGAGAAAATGGAAGCCCATTTGTGAAAATCTTGCCAAGAAAACTGGAGGAACTTTTCCCGGCAGTCACCAGGATTCAACCCTGACTCAAAGGGACAAAAACAAAAAAACAAAAACCAACTAAGGCTTTGGTTAACTTAAAAAGTTGACCTCCTACCCATTTTCCATTCTTTAGCAGTTAAGAAGAGTGTGAGATTTTCTTGCTGCTGAGATTATATATTCAGTTAGAATCAATATAGAGAGAGATTAGCTAGATGCGCTTTTGCTTACCTAAAATCCATTCCCTGAATATGCAAGCAAACTTGGATAATCCAATAATACTTGGAAAAAATATAAATACAGATTAGTGCAATCTCATTTTGCTTTTGCATTTAGGTTTAACATCTATTACTCACATCTTCTTCATCCTATAATTTGTACACAATAGCATGCATTAAACTACTGTTTTAGAATTTGCCAAGATGATATACTGGTGATACTAATAAATTTGAACTAAATGTATTTATTTATTTATTTATTTTTAAACAGGAGACCAAAACTCAGTGTGTTCGAATAGCTACTAAAGGTAAGAGATTTTACCCCCTATGAATAAAAGGGCATAGATAGTTTGATTTTTATTTTGCTGAGAGTTTACATTCTAAGTCCTGTAAAATGCTTGGGCTCTGCTTGATGTTGTACCATGCAGACAGTGATGAGTTACTTTAATGCTGGCTCAGTAGAAAGTTTTGCTTGAAAATACAACAGCAGCATTATTCAAAAGACATGAGACTGCTCCTGTGCCAATCACAACTGGCAATAGTTATTCCAAAGAACAAGTTGCTCAGAGCCTGGATTATTAAATTTTATTAGGGAGAAGCTTAATTCTAGGAAGTATTTTGCTTTTGAACGAGAAACTTATCATAAAGGGTAGATTAGAAGAGGAAGTTTCTGGTTCTGTTTTGATGTCAACGGAGGGAGCTTTGTCTCTTTTATGAAAAGAGTTCACAGAAGCGTTGTATGCATGTAGATCAGGGGTGAAATGCTCCCGGTTCGGACCAGATCGCCCAATCTGGTAGCGATGGAGGCAGGTGGTTTGGAGAACCGGTAGCAAAAATCCCTGACCCCCTCCCTGCCCCCATACCCAGCTGAGCCGCACAATCATCTGAGGCTTTTTTTCTTTTAAATGCCTCTGAAGATCCAAGCTGAATTGCCTGATCAGCAGCGGCTTTTTTTCTTTTAAATGCCTCTGACGATCCAAGCTGAGTTGCCTGATCGTCAGAGGCATTTAAAAGAAAAAAAGCCTCTGCCGATCAGGCAACTCAGTTGGGATCATCAGAGCCTTTTGAAAGCATTTTTTTACAACCTCTTTGCTGAAGAGGTTGTAGAAAAAATGGTTTTAAAAGTTAAAAAAAAAATTGGCCATGCCCACCCAGTCACATTACCTCCCCCCACCAAGCCACACCCACAGAACTGGTAGTAACAAATTTTAGATTGCACCACTGATGTAGATATATTTCTTCAACTTCTTTTATTTTATTTTTAAAGAAAAGCTTATTTCACTCACTCAGGGCTAGTTAAGTTCAAGTTCTAGTGACAAGCCAGAGAACTGGAAAAGATAAAAACAATGTGTAGAGTAAAAAAAAAAGTACCAATTTGTAAAGTGACAGAACACTAATCATGATACAACTCTAGAATGAATTCTTGCCTAATGTTGTAATTATACATTGTAATTTTTGTTTGTCTCTGTGTTAGTTCTGTTCTTAAAAACCTAAGGGTGGTGTTGGGAATGATAATGTATCGCTTCTTAAATCTAGAAAATGAAAGGCTAAATATCGTGGAGGTTTATAATAAATGCCCCTAGATTTTTTTTTTCTTCCCATAAAGATGAAAAATAAATACATCACTGGCTACTAGATTACAGTGTAATTTCTAAACCTTGCATTTTACTCTGATAGTATCTTGTCATGTTTTTACCATGTGTGCTACAGAAGAGAGCTGTATGTTTGAATGTGTGCATGCATGTGTGAAGCACTTCTTTTCAGTGTTACATTTTTTCAGGCCTGCTGGGCTAAACCTGCTCCCAGGTTTTTTTCCGTGTATGTGTTTATGCCTGGTTGTTGTAACTATATCTACTGCTTTACACAATAAGATAATTAAACATCATCCATGTTTTGTTCCAAGGCAAGTGTCTTATACATCTCTTATTTTGGATTACATTAAACGTACTAGGATTTTGTGGTACGCTTTAGGTCAGGGGTGGGCAACTGTGGCCCTTTTACAACCTGTGGACTTCAACTCCCAGAATTCCTGAAACAGCCAAGCTGGCTCAGGAATTCTGGGAGTTGAAGTCCACAGGTCATAAAGGGGCCATATTTGCCCACCCCTGCTTTAGGTTAATCTGAACGTAGCAGTCCGATGACATGCTTATTGAAGTACAGATAGGTTTTATAGCTGCACTACTCAGGGAAGCCAGTTGGAGCAGTGCTTCTACATTATTTTCTTACCATGGGATAATTTAGAATGCAAATGTAGCCCTAATGCCATTAAATCAAATTAAATTCAAACAGACTAATGAATGATTTGATTATGTGATGTGCCATAATTGTGTGGGTGGTAAGGAACCATACAGATAGACACTCTCTAAGATCATCTGTTGCCAACTTGGCCTTTGCAATTTTTCTAATGCTGTACTCATAAGTACTGCTATAATTGAGTCCACCCAATTCATTTCCTTTCGCTTTTTCCACATTGCACGTTAGGTCTTCATATCATGTGTCTAAAATATGACAATTTGAGCTTGATCATTTGTGCCTGGAGTGAGAAATCTGGATTGATTTCTGCAATATCTATTTGTTTGGTTTCTTGGCAATCCATCGTATTCGCAACTTTTTCCACCATCAGCATTTAAAAGCATCAGTAGTTTTTCCATCCTGCTTCTCAATACTCAACTTTAAGTACCGTATTCTGAAACTATTGACAGCATAATTATGTTTATATTAAACATTATAATTATAATTATAATTGTTGTAGGTATAGGTTCTTTTCCAAGGTTTTTGTGGCTACTGTAGCATATAACTGGATTGCTGATTCCTTTGTTGTTTGTGGTTGATCCTATAAAGCAGATGCTATCTACAACTATCTTCACTGTTGATTCTAAGGATGGCTGCTATATATGTTGACTTTAGTTATGTCTTTATATTTAATTTCCTTTTTTTCTGTATTCTCATTACCATAACTTGTATACCATTACCGTTTTAAAGGTATCACAGTAGTATCTACAGCCCTAGTGATGACACCATTATCAATTGGAGGTTACCTTTCTCCAATTTAAAAACCATAGTCATCTACTTCCCAGCCAAATTATTCCCCCAACAATTTTATTTATTTTACTTTATTTATTTGATTTCTATAGCCACCCATCTCAGCAAATGATTCCGGGTGGCATACATCATCATAAAAGCATAAAATGAAATAACCCAGAGGGCAAGATCTTTGGCAGAACAGCAAGTCTCCTTGTCCCCACCAGCTGACATTTCTTGGCTCTAGTCTATATATCCAGCATATTGCTTGAACAAATAAGGAAAGAATATACAGTCTTGTCTCACTCCTCTGCTGATATTGAGTCGGTCTGTTTTGCCACATTTCACTTGGATTGTGGCTTCCTCTGTGTTTGTGGGCTTTGCATAAGGACAATAAGATTCTATAACATACTGTATTTTTCAGAGTATAGGACACACTTTTTTCCCTCATAAAAGAGGCTGAAAATTTGGGTGCATCTTATACTCTGAATGTAACCCTGCGCGGTGCCCAAAATGGCTACCTGGAACAGCTGCTGCCTTCTCTTACCCCTTCTGTGTTTTGCCTGCTTTAGTCACTGGAGTTCCTTCCAAGGATCAGGTGTGCTTTTGAAGCTGTTTTTCCCAACACAAGCGAAGCAATCTTCTGTACTTTGCCTGCTTTTTTAATTGCTGCTCCCTCCAACAATCAGCTGTGCTTTAGAAACACAGCCCCAATCAGCCCCAACCTCAAAACCAGTGAGCAAACTAATGTGCTGGGACTAGCCAGATGAATACCTGGTAGGCAGAATCCCCCCCCTCATTTTCCTCCCCAAAAACTAAGGTGCATCTTATACTCCGGTGCGTCTTGTACTCCGAAAAATACAGGTACCTGTTTTTTCTTAAGGACATTCCACAACTTGACATAGTTAATACAATTGAGGGCCTTTCAATAATCAATGAAGTATTTACAGGTTTCTTTTAGTGTTTTCAATTTTCTGTTATTCAGTGTGCATCAGCAATAAGGTCTCTGGTTCCTTGGCCTTTTCAGATGACCCTGATAAACATATTCAGAAGCTGTTGCCCAGGAAACAGGAGCTGATTTTTTTGTTGTTGTTGTTAAGTTTAGAAGAGTCAGATAATATTTGGAAGTGGCTCAAATGGACCCCTCCCTAATTTACTTTTTTAATTATAAGAAAGAGGAGGAGGACTTGTAAGATTCTGTTATTATAGACAATAAAAAAGAAAAGACATTGTGCACATTGGTATAAGATGCTATAATTGAGAAGTACAGGTTGTTGTTGGACAGATTGATGTAAGTAACAATTATCCCACAGACCCACCAAATCTTTCCTTCATAATCAAAGCTCTGATTCCTGAATTAGTTGATGCTGCAGTAAGTTGCAATTCACTAAGGCATGCATTTTTTTTTCTAATAGTGGTGATGTAGGAACAAGTAGCTACTGTTGGTTCTTTGCTACTTTTGATTACTCAAGGTCCCTTTGTGTAAATATCTGACAGTAAATTTTAAATTGCTTAATACCTTTAGAGGCTTCAAGCATTGCCCAGAGTGGAAAATACAAAATCAAATTATTGTGATAAGCACATCACATAATCCCAAGCAATAAAATGCAAGGACCTAAAATCCCTTTGCAAACTACTTGGCAACTATCCCTAACTCTGCAAGCATCTTTTTCCCTTCTCTAATTTAACAAGACTTTCCATCAGCCAAACTTTATCACCTATAGAACAAACTTTAGGTCTGCTGGGTATTTGAGCAGAATTAAATTCCCTCCAACACAGAGACAAACACACACACAGGCATGTGAACATATACACATATACACACTCACACATGCTTCATTTTTAAATTGTTTCTTTTCTACTTGTCTTAGTGAGAGAGAATTAACTATGCCTGCACCAGGATTAGCAATTTTTTTCACTTGTAGGTGGAGGAAAACAAAAGATTATAATGGATCTTCCATATCAAAAATATCTTTTAAAATCCAGGGGTGGTTTTTTTTTTTTTAGGTTTCTAATGCTAAAGAGCTGTAGAGATTTCTGCATGAGCAATTATTTTTGCCCCTCTGAAGACTTGATAAGTATTTTAAGATAAACTTCCCAATGCTTTATTAGTTCATTTTAAGTATGACTCAAACATTTCAGCTTCGCTTTGACTGAATGAAACAACTGGCATTGATTTTATTAACATCTAAAATAAGAAGTTAAGATTTTTCCATTTTAGTAGTTACTTAAAATCACAATTAACATTGTATGTAATATGTAAAGAAAGCCACCAAAAGTATCACAA